GGAGGGTGTGAGTAAAAGCCGTGCTTCGAAGGTGACCAGACAGAAGAGTAATAGATACGGCAAAGAAGCACAAAAGAAGACAACGCTGTAATTGCTTGTGACGCACAGAGCTATCTCTCCTGCAGATGATGCAAATTGAAAAGCCAATATTTCCACATAATAACCCTCGGGTCTTTTCTTTTCTTTTAACAACACCCAGTGGACAGCCTCGCAGCACTCTGGGGCCATCATCTTCCATCTTGTATCTTAGCAACAGCCTCGTATCGACACCATCCTTTAAGCGCGCCGAAGACGTGCAGGCATTTCATTCCACCTCCTAAAGTCGCGAGACGCCTATCGCAGGTGCGCTCCTGAAAGCTTCATCCCACTGTGCCATTCAAAACTGCCCGTTCTCCCGCTGGGGGAAATCTACCAATCAATCTCCTCTTCATTCTGTCCTCCAGTCGCACAGTCCGGCTTCAGTAATCCTCGTCATGCTTCTGTGGCCTGCAATCAGGGAGTGATCTTTGGCTATGCTGGCAAGAGTTCAATAAGCTCGCACATACACACACGCGTCCTCGTCCTCACCTTGACAATGCACCTCACACACACACAGCTCAAGGTAAGCCTGCTGGTTTGATAAGACTGTAAAACGCTACGAAGATTTCAGAGCTGAAGACGGGGAACAATCCCTTGGAAACAGCTGACCTCCAGCGCATTAGCGGGCAGCTGCAAATCACGCACGCAGGCAGACAGTAAACCAATCGCGTGCACACACGCAAACAAAAAGCCCCGGGATGTTTCACAGACAGCAAACCGAAACACCGAAATGTGTCAGAAAACACGCCGCTGCCGACGGCGCTTGCCTCGCTTCAGCTGTTAAATACGTAGATTCGTTTTACACAGCGTGTGCGCTGCATATGTCTGCCTTCCTGTAATGTAATTTATCTAGTTCATCATTTGCTTTATCCTATAAAAGGAGCGTTCTCTAACACTTTAAATTGCAGATCCTCATTTCCATAATCACACTGTAATTAGGAGGCAACAAAATGCATTCGGGGTTTTGTGCTGAAAATGCCGAAGCTGCGAAAAGTGAATGACGTGCAAAGGTTTGCTTTGCTCCTGCTGTAACAAAATGCATGAAGCATTAGTAATCATGCTAATGAAGCAGATGCCACATTTATGTTGCCAGAAACTGATTGATGTGTTAAAATAAATCCCACTGTGGCTGCTGGACAGGAGGATGTGATTTACAGGCGGCTGATCATCAGCTCTAATAAAGATGGGTTGATGAGTACATTTTAATACACCAGTAGTTTTATAGCACAATGAAAACTGAGACCTCTCTGAGAAACCGAGGGACACTTTGGTTAATGACTTGTGATTGACCAGTCATTAACACAAACCCTAACCAAGCATCATCCTCCTTTATTTCTCAAACATTGATCAAAATGTACAAAATGAACTTCACATTTCATTACTGAATCTCAATCTTTGTCCTGTCTTCCTCCCCTCGCAGAGGGCTGCACGTCCCAAGCTTCTGCCAGAGGTTTCTTCCTGCAAAAAGGGAGTTTTTCCTTCCCAACGTCTCCAAAATACTTGCTTATGCTTGAATCTAGTGACCGATTCCATAAACTCATCAGGAAAAAAAAGGACATTCGAAAGACTTCTTCACAATCAGAACTTATTTTACCACCAGATGAGTCTGCTCCTACTGAAGGATTCAGGTATCAAAGCTTCACCTTTCAAACCTGTAAGGTATGTTCATCTTTTATACTCTGGAAGATCTAAAAATGAGTCAGGCTAAATTAAGCACGGTGGTTAGCACTGTTGCCGCACAGCAAGAAGGTCCTGAGTTCAATTCCACCATCAG